CCGTAGATTTGACGTAGGATTACGAAGGTAGTTATGATGTCACAGCAAAAGTATAGTAAATATTAAATTATTACAATTAAATATAATTAAAAATCAACATTATCGCAATGCAATTCCGCAATCCAATTCCGCAATGCAAACAACAGGTTTACTCATGTTGTTTACCAATTTATTCTTTTCTAGAAATAATCGTGAATTATTACTTACCTCAGATGCGTTACAAACAATGTACATCTTTATTTCAAAGGAAAATAGTCAAATGTGCTACCTTGTCTTAAAGACCCTTCTCCAGCATCCCAACCAGTAGATAAAGCAATGATGTCTCTAGCCGTTCTGATCCTGTCTCGGTAACACCGATTTCTTTCAGCATCAATTTTTGGCTGCTTCTTCGGAGGTTTATCCGCTTGCTATTCCTTTGCGCGCTTACGTGATCGGCGCTTGTATTGTGTAGCCAAATGCTGCGACATGGCTTTATCGATAAACTCGCAAACAATTTCTCAATTATCAATTACTTCGTACAATTGTAGAATTTTGAATAGACTGGCCATCAATTTTGCTATTTGGAAATTAAATCTTCATACCGGACGGTACTTACCTTTATGCTTTTAGATGCAAATATTAAGAGAATTCGGCAAGATTTGTTTTTTACATAATTCTCTTAATAGAAGGGGCTTACAATTTGCATCAAAAGGCATAAAGATTGGTACCGTCTAGCATGCTATCACGGTATCATGGAAAAGTCTCGTTTTATGATGACGTAAATACGCATTTCCGTGCACAAAACGCACGAAATTTTTGGCTTTTTCCATAAATGAAAAATATGCGAAAATTGATTGTTGGAATCTAGGATGGATGGCCTTGACTAATGTTCAAATAATACTCTTTAACAAATTTATGGTGGTCCTGAGAAGGACCGTTTTGTCGTGATGGTTGAGTAATGCTGAGCTGGGTGCTTAACACGGATGAGGCTGTCGAGCTGTATGTTGTTTGAAGCGAGGGTGACACGCTTGGCATGACCTAACGCCGAAAGCACTGCTGCTACTGATGCTGCTGCTGCGGACACCGTCGACTGTACACCACCACACCACCACCGGTGATTGAATGAGCACCGTTCAGTGATACAGGATCGAATTCGATTTTCAAATCTGTGTTAGGGAATGCGCTGTTTGCAGGTAATCGGTGATCATTTTGATCACCATTGCTACAGTTGGACATTTGTGTATTTTTCAATAGTGACCTATTGAAAATTAATAAAGTGTTCAATTTAACAGATTGGTAGATAAATTTCCAATCGTTTGGCTTGTTCAGAATTAAAATTCATCTGCTATTGACAGAGGTATATGTGGTCAAAACCTTACCTATTTTCGTCCTGCGGTCGATTTTGGTTTTTTTTTAAATTGCACCCCCAATATGTTGCCGAAAGACGTAATCATACGTCAAAAAAACAATAGATTAACACATAAAGTCATCATATCTAGTTAGAAATCCTCTTAGCAAAAATCAGTTTGCATACCAGGAATGTAACAGCACTCCATACGGTTGGTACAAAACTAGAAAGATCTTTTGAAGCCAAAGAAATTTCACTTGCTGCATTCTTTGACATTGAAGGTGCATTGGATAATTCATCACACGATTCAACGACTACAGTTATGATGAAACGTGGTTTCGATCAAAGCATTGTAAATTGGATCAATGAGATGTTATCAAAAAAAGAAATATCAGCAAACCTTGGAAGCTCACTCATCAGTATAAGAGCAACCAAAGGATGCCCGCAAGGAGGCGTGTTATCACCTCTATTGTGGTCTTTAATAGTTGGTGATATTCTCAAAAATTTAATACCACAGGGCTTCGGAATAGTTGGCTTCGCAGTTTTTTTTTTTTTTTATTTGATTTGTTTTTTGTCGATCTTGTTTTCCGTGCTGAACACCAATGCTACCGACGCCAGGGAGGCAGCTCCCACACCTGGACCCATCGACTCATGAACCGGGGACCAACGACTTTACTTCCCTTCCCGAAGGAAGGCGTGATCAGAGATGTTATGCCTCAGAACATCCCAGCGACACCGACTGGGATTGAACCCAGGCCTGCTGGGGTGAAAGGTAATCACGACTACTACACCACCGGCGCCGCTCGACAGGTAACGTTTGACGACGAGGATTTGCAAATCCTCATCTTTTAAGCAGCGTTTTAAATATCAACGAAGAATTAATTGCGAGGTTTCGAAACATTTTAATTACTACCAAAATGCAGGAGCCACTTGATCCAGGAAAAAATGATATCTATTGCAAAGTTACATACTGACATTATCTTCCTTTATATGATTGGTATAAAATTCCTGCAACCGTACATAAAGTACTTGCTCATGTTGGAGAAACAACAATTCATTCGCCTTTATTCAGGTTTATCCATACCCAGCTGCCTACACAGATGAGGTGAGGAAACAGATCGATAAACTCCAGGAAGATGGTATTATCCAAAAGTTAGCAACTCTCTCAATAACAGGTGCAATGAAAAGTACACCATCGAAAGCATTGAATGCTTTGCTTTATATACTACCATTGCATCAATCTGTGCAAGTAGAAGCTGAAAAGTGGTGAGTGAAACTCTTTGAAGGAGACCTTAGAGGACATCTTAGGATTCTAAAAACTGTTAGTATCAATTCTCTAGCAAGGAACATTGAAGACTGGATGGAGAAAAGATACAATTTCAATCGGCCTTTTTCAAATATTTGACCCTGGGCGCATGGCAATTTGGTGGTGCGATTCTTCGTCCAGGATCGATTGTTTTTTTATACAGATGGTTCAAGATTGAACAATCAAGTGGGAGCAGGAGTAACTGGCCCAGGGATAGACATATCGGTTCCTATGGGCAGATGGCCAACTGTGTTCCAAGCTGAACTCCAAGCAATTTTAGAGTGTTCTATTATATGTTTGCGTAGAAACTATAATAGTTCAATATATGCATAATGTCAGACAGTCAGGCTGCTCTAAATGCTTTAAAATCGACGATATGTACATCAAAACTTGTCTGGGAGTGTGTTCAATCACTTCAAAAATTGTCTTGTCATAATCAAATCAACTTATATTGGGTTCCTAGTCATTAAGGGATTGGCGGAAGTCCTTTTGTGGTTTATCGGCTGCATCTCAGAGAATGGAGTTAAAAGCGTGGGAATCTTCAAAAATTGAAGGAAAACTGAAAGAACACTTCCATTACTAGCCAGTCGAAACGATTCATTAATTCAAATATTTATGTGACCCACAAAATCCTGGAATTTTCTAAGAAAGATCTTAGCATATATACAGGGTGATTCGGAATAACTGTCTCTTTTTAAAATAGTCATAACGATTGAACGCTTGCATGAATTTTTGATATCATTATATTCCAAATATTCTACATATATAATCTTCAACTAAGCATAGTTTATTTCAAATCTCTCTCCCTTTACCTTAATTATCAGCCACATTTGTCATGAAAATTAACCACAGCTGGCACGCACGCTTTAGTTCCAGCACTTTTTGAGTCCTGGTGATGCGTTTAAGCTCTGATATTGAACGGATTTTCCAAGCATGCTTCCTTTGTACCTCTATAATGATGCAAACATAAATGTTACATTCTTGCGAAGAGATTTCAGTTTCTAAAAGATTATACACGATTTTTTTAAAGATTTATGCCATTCTCCATTTTGACGTCAATGGCTGCTTGAAATCACAAACGAATGAAATTTCAAATCCTATTATCAATACAAGCTGATATTTTTACACACTTAAAACAAAAATACTTGAACATATACCCATTTTACCCATTGTGAATTGCATATTTGTGAAATCGGTGACAGTTATTCTGAATCACCCTGTACAGGTCTTATAACAGGTCATTGTCCGAGCCGTTATCACTTGAAGCTGATTGGAAAACTTCAAGATAATGTATGTTGCTTATGTGGCATAGAAAAGGAAGACTCGGAAAATTTGCTATGCCACTGTCCGGCAATTTTCACTAAAAGGCGTAAGTTCTTCGACAAGGCACTGATAGAACCCTTTGAAATTTGGAGAACAACTCCCAGTACGACAGTGTACTTTATTTGAAGTGTAATGCCTTGCTGAGATAATCCTATTAGTCAAACAATGGCGATCACTCCTAATAATAGTCATACGACATCTTGATAAAGCCCAAAAAAATGGGAATATAGGGGAAATGGATGTAATGTCGGTCAAAATGCCCCAAATTTGGGCCCATACCTAAATTCAGCATTCGACTAAATTTTCAAACGCAACCAAAAATATAGACCTTTACCGTCCCAATGACGCGTTCATCTAGATACAATTGATAAATAGCGGATTTTTAGTGATGGGCCCAATCTTAGATCCATAGGCCAACATTAGAGCCATTTCCCCTTTCACAATTGATCAGAAAAATCGTAGTCGCAGTGATGGAAACACCCGACAAGGATAAAACAATTCCCTGAATTGGTGCTAAATTAGGGAAAAAAGCAACTAAAGAAGCCTAGCCGATGGGTGGAGAAACCTTTGCAATTTCCTAAAATGTTACGAAAATTCCCATGTGAGCGTTCTAGTGAATGATGCCACATGCTCTTCCATTTATGGGGAAACTAATGACTGACCGAAAATCGACCAAGTTGAGCTAGCTCAGTTTTATTTTCTATTTTTACTGACCCCTGATGACCAAGAAACTCAATTAGCAGAACCAAAATGCCAATTATTCCACTTCCGAGAAGCTCCTTATAAATTAAGCCCAACACGAACCAAAACACCCAAATCCGAAATCAACGTCACGTCTAGCAAAACAAAAACATAAAATCCATCTCGCTATCCGTTCCTAAGAAACATCACCCAAATCCAAGCATCAGATTTTCTCTGACTGTAATTCCATTCAAAAAATCATTTCTCTTTTTTTTTCGACAACGCATAGGTACACGTGAAAGCGTCGTATCAGATCGCTGAAAATTCCCCGGAAAAAAAGTATCTGTTCTCCAACTCGCTTACCTTTCAACTGGGCCGAATCTGCGAGTCGACGGTTTCCCAGGAATCTGCTACTCCAAGCTGATGTGGGCGCCTGTGCCTACTGTGCCACACTGTGGTCCGTTCTTGGCGTTAGCTTTTTTCCCTCACACAGACACAGACAACCAACAATCCAGAGCACTTCTTTTGTTGCGTTCCAAGAAGATTTCCTTCTTTTCAGCACGTTCTCCTATCTGCGCCCCGAAAGAAGATTAAAGCTGGACTTTTGCCGCTTTCGAATCTTGTTATTTTTTCGATTACCGTTTGCCAGCGTGTCCGTTCGTTAACTTTTCAGAAGTTTATTTTCTGCTTTGTATAAATCTTGCACGACTGGTGAGCACAAAATAGAGCACTTGGCGCCGAAAACTACCAAGTGGGGTTGGTAGGACTGAAACTGTAAACATGTAATAGATTTTCCGGCGCACTCGAAACGGTCAAATGCAAATAACACACTCCTTCAGTGGGAGTTTGCCACATGGAAAACTCGAAATTGAGCCTCTTTCACCCTCCGGCGGGGGTGTTTGTTTTGAATCGCACCGCCGAACGACAAGCCTCTTCACCCGAAGGGAGTGAAAGCACTTTACCTAATCACTTAATCCTAATTGTAATATTATTTTCCGTTTCTCTCCCTTGCCTTTTCTCATGCACGGTCGTTGTTTTCGCTCGATTCGACCAGGGGATTTTCACAATTTCCACCACCCCAGACTTCCCCGCACGGACGAATGTAAATTGCTCTGCTTATGTATTTACGTAACCTAGTTGTGTTTCACCACTTTCGGCAATTTTATAAGCCTTTTTTCCGCCGAATGCTGCCTCAACGCTCTCAACACAAACACATGTCGTTCACTTTCTCTGTGCACACTTCCCATGTACCGACGCCTAAACGCCCCGCGAAAGGCCAAAGCTTTTCCACTTGAACTCACCTTCAATCAAAATAATTTTCTTTCGAGTGAGAGCCCTTCTTTCTTGAGACACCCGCAAGCAAGCAAGCAAAAAATAAGACGAGAAATTCACACACTCCAGTTCGCCCGAGCGAACACAACCTTCTTCGTTTCGCACCTTCAAGGCAGGAGGAGGCTAGGTCCTTTCGGTCGTTCGGTCGGCCTGTCGGCCGAGGCCCTCTTTAATTTTCAATTACTTTTTCACACCTCACCAAGAAAACTCTCGGGACAGGGCAGGCAGGTTCCGTTTCTCCCTTCCGCCCGCAGTTTCGCACTTTGGTTGTACGTGCTACGGTTGAACTTCCCAGCAGGCCCGACAATTCACACCGGAACCAACCGTAGACCAGTGCGTATCATCTTTCACGGAATGCACGGTCCAAACACAACGGGAAAATTACCACACACTTTGCCACCACAGAGATATAAGTCCACAGAGGAACCACACAGTTCAGAACCCGTGACCAGAAAACGGTCCGCTAAAATTCGCGTCCACGCTGACGGAAGTTCAAACACAAACTGACAGCTGTTCGGCCACGGTGCCAGCGGCAGCAGGACGAACCCGAGCCCGATTCGGATTCTGAAGGGAAATTGTGAGTTCGGAGGAATTTTCCGGCTTCGTTTGGGGGATATCCTGGCTCTCCGAGGCGAACGGATTTTCCTGAGTACGAGAGAGAAAGTGGGAGAGGATGAGCGAGTGAGCGGATCGGATGTAGCGTGGAATTGCGCTCTGTTGTTGTCCGAGGAATGGCACGGAGGTGGAGGTTGACTTTAGCATACGGCGAGGAGTTTGTTTTCAAACACAGTGCTGTGATGCCAGATAATCGGAATTGCCCGAATGCATTACTACACCGAAATTCGAAAAAATATTCCAAGATGGAAATGTTTCCTTTTTTGTTTGTGTGAGATTGGATTTGATTAGAAGTTGGAAATGCTTCCTTCTTCATTAACTGACATAATCCCAAGCCATCGAGACTTCCTGAAAGTACCAAGGCTGCAAAATGCATGTCGATTCATGGTTGACATGGCTGGTTATCGACAATCCGATGATCAGCCACCATTCGAATGGTATGGCTGCCTACTTTCATTTGGAATAAGTAGAACCCCGATTGGACCTGTGGTTGGCCATCCGGAGCGGATTAAACCAGGAAAAGTCCCGAGCAAAATGCGTGTCGATTCATGTTGATTACCAAATTTCAATATTGAGCCACTATTTGAAAGGTAAGACTATCTTCTTTCGAATGGAACAGACAGGGAACCGATTGGGCCTGTGGTTGTCCAGTCGGGATGGGAAAACCCGTGAGAGGTGGCTCTGCGGAAATTCAGATTCACCGGGAAAATGGTCAATTCCTGAAAAACAATCACAAGCATAGAGGAATTATGCCATCGCCATATCGTTTCTGCTACCGCGTGGCCAGAACGGTCCTGTGAATATCCGAAATCACCGGAAAAATGGCCAGTTTGTGAAAGTAGACCTAGAGATCCGGTATATTTTATAAATTGCACACAATCATTAGCATAGAAAAAATAATCCATTACCATATCGATTATGCTACCGGGTGGCTATAAAACAGTTCGCTGGATATCCGGAATCACCGGTAAAACGGTCAATTTCTGAAAGTAGACCTAGAGATCAGCGATTACCGGTGATTCTGAATATCAACAGGACCATTTTCTGAACATCCGGCAGCAGAATCGATAAGGTGATTGCACATTTCCTCTATGTTCATGACTGTATGCAATTTAGAGAAGAAATCTGCGGTCTCCTTTTAGGAATTGACCATTTTCCCGGTGAATCTGAATTTCGACAGAGCCACCTCTCACGGGTTTTCCCATCCCGACTGATCAACCACAGGTCCAATCGGTCTTCTGTCTGTTCCGTTTGTAATAAGATAGCTATAGCTTTCAAAAAGTGGCTCTAAAGACTGGAACGCGCAAAAATTGGTCGACAAAAAATCGTTTCTTTCAGTAAAAAAACATATCACAAAAAATATTTTTCTTTTGGTAGTGGTAGTTGATATATTGCCTTTTTTTCCATAGTGACAGCTCGCCAAGTCCGGCCAGAACAGCACAGGTCTATTATGTTGCTTTAGTAATGATAGCAGCCGCTTTCCAGGCACTCCTGGACGTAGATCTCTTGATTGATGGTTCTCGTAGTAACGAAAATGCCGCTTTTTAGACCACACGTGCATATGGCCTGCCAGACGAGATATTTTTTTCGGGAACTTCGATAGTTTGATGGTTTTGAAAATTTCAGTCACTTCCCTTTTTCTGATGCGGTATAAAACTCCTGTCCCGGAAGTTGCTTGAAATCCGCCTTCAAATAAGTTTCGTCGTTCATGACGACACAGTCGAACTTTGTGAGCAGATTCGTATACAGCTTTCGGGACCGCTGCTTTGCCGACGTGTTTTGTTTGTAATCTCGGTTCGCCACCTTCACCTTCTTAAACGGCGACAGCCCGCCTCGTTTCTTGGCCCGCTGCGCAGTAGTATGGGAGACATTGAGCTTGCCAGCGACGTCCCGGATGGAGAGGTTAGGATTCCGCTTATATTTCACCACCACCTTCTTCGTCGTCGCTGCCACGTCCGGATTACGATTGCCGCCGCTTCCAGGCTTCCTGGCGGTCTACAGACGCGTTTGTCACGGTCGATTTCGTCACATACAGCAATTTTGCCAACTTGGTGTGTGAGAACGTCGGATTCTCTTGCTGCGCGAGCAAAATTTTGACACGCTGCTCCTCTTGCTTGGACGTCATTTTGAAAACTGGAGAGCAAACGGTGAAAACTCATCGTAGCAACCATTGTATATACACTCAACTTTCAAATGCAGCATTTCAGGTTTTTTTTCATGCATTTTTAATAGAAATACACCAATTTGAAGTTGACCAATTTTTGCGCGTTCCAGAATTTGTCTTAAAATTTGGTATCCAAATTACCGAGAGCCAGTCATGTCAACATGAATCGTCGAGGTTTTCCGTTCCGGTTGGCCAACTACAGGTCCATGAAAGTAGATAGCCAAATGAAAGTAGATCGCCGCATTGCCGAGAATCAGCCCTGTAAGCATGCATCGACACACGTTTTGCAGCCTTGGTTTTTTGTCAGTTAACCCTTTGTCTGTACCTTGGGATCAATTTGACCCCAGGTCACTTTGAAAGGTTGTAACTTTTCAATTTGTCGTGACTATGTACGTGCACCGGAGCTCTGTAACACTAGATTAAATCTGCACCGAAACTTTTGAAAAAATATGTATTTTTAAAATTTGGTTGATATACTTACGTTGTCTGTACCCTGGGGTCAATCCGAAAATCGCGAAATTTCAATTGATTTCTGAAATTTCAAATGTTTTACAATTGTAAATTTAGTGAACTTTCATTTTTGCAAGGGTGGATCGCGGGGAGGGGTAATTGTAAAAATGTACCCATGAAGTGAAGTGTTTTGATGTTAGAAATGGTTATATCACAAAATCTCCACCATATAGGATGTTGCTTCATTCTGAAAATATATTTTATAATAGATGGTCTACAAAACTGTTGATAGTTTATGACACAATATACTCACTAGGTGGCGCTAAGAAGAAAATTATCAAGTTGTGCATTCTTAAATACATACGTCTTCAGCAAAGATGATCAGATGGAAAATACTTATGCTGAGGTAAAGAATTTAGTTCAAAATTCACTCACCAGGCAACGCTAGTGTGACATTCATTTTTAATTGTGTGCCCTAACTTAACATTTTGGTTAAATAAAAGGTTACCGTCTTTGGAAAAGTTTTTCACATGAACAAGTCCTATTTTATAGTAAAGAATTTAGCTCAAAAATCACTTACAAGGCAGCGCTAGTGTGACAATCATATTTAGTTGTTTGCCCTAACCTAACATATATACTAGATAAAAGGTTACCGTCTTGGCTAAAGTTGTTAAGATGGACTAGACCTATCCTGAGGTAAACTCTTTATCATAAAATAGGTCTTGTTTATCTGGACAACTTTACCGAAGACGGAAGCCTACTATCCAGTCCATATGTTAATTATGATCTAAACTCTTTACCATAAGATAGGTCTTGTCCATCTGAACAACTTTACCCAAGACGGGAACCTTCTATCTAGTACATATGTCAGATTATGGCACACAATTCAAAATTAATGTTACACTAGCGCCACCTAGTGAGTGAATTCTGAACTAATCCCTACCTTAGGATAAGTCTTGTCCATCTGAACCACTTTACCGAAGACGGAAACCTGTTATCTAGTCGATATGTTAGGTTAGGGCAAACAATGAAAAATTTATCTCACACTAGCTCTGCCAGGTGAGTAAGTTCTGAACTTAACTCTTTACCTCAAGGCAGGTCGAATACGGGAACCATCCATATAAGCAGGATCTGTAGAAGGCACAAATTGATCATTTTAGTTTTAGCGCCATACATACATACATTTATTTGTACAACATCACATTTAAGATAAGACATAATCAACAATAGTACGGCACGCTAGATCACGCTCTACCTGGTCCGCCCAACGTGCTCTCTGCGCTCCACGCCTTCTTGTGCCAACCAGATCAGTAGCGAACAACAACTTTGCAGGGTTGTTGTCCGGCATTCTTGCAACATGCCCTGCCCATCCTTCCGGCTTTGGCCACCTTCTGGATGCTGGGTGCAGCGAGCTCGTGGTTCATTCTTCGCCGCCACTTACCGTTCTCCTGCACACCGCCGAAGATCGTCCTTAGAACACGTCGCTCGAAAACTCCGAGTGCTTGCAGGTCCTCCTCGAGCATAGTCCATGTCTCGTGTCCATAGAGGACCACCGGTCTTATTAGCGCCTTCGTATTTCACGACTCACATTGTTGTCAGCCGTCAGTAAGGATCCAAGGTAAACGAATTCCTCCACTACCTCGAAAGTATCCCCGTCTATCGTGACATTACTTCCTAGACGAATCCTGTCATGTTCGGTTCCGCCTACTAGCATGTACTTTGTTTTTGACGCACTCACCACCAGTCCGACCTTTGCTGCTTCGTGTTTCAGGCGGGTGTATAGTTCTGCCACCGTTTCAAATGCTCTTGCGATAATGTCCATGTCGTCCGCAAAGCACACAAATTGACCGGATTTCGTGAAAATCGTACCCCGGCTGTTGAGCCCGGCTCGTCGCATTACACCTTCTAGAGCGATGTTGAAGAGTATGCATGAGAGTCCGTCACCTTGTCGCAGTCCCCGGCGAGATTCGAATGAGCTGGATAGTTCACCCGAAACCCTTACGCAGTTTTGCACACCGTCCATCGTTGCTTTGATCAGTCTGATCAGCTTCCCAGGAAAGCCGTTCTCGTCCATGATTTTCCATAGCTCTGTGCGGTCGATACTGTCGTATGCCGCCTTAAAGTCGATGAACAAATGATGCGTTGGGTCCTGGTATTCACGGCATTTCTGGAGGATTTGCCGTACGGTGAAGATCTGGTCGGTTGTCGATCGGCCGTCGATGAAGCCGGCTTGATAACT